GCTTTAATACCTGTTGTTAGATCAGAGAGATGGAAGAACCGTAGCAGCTTGAGGTTTTTGTGCAACAACATAAACTTAAGGACTGCGGGTTTTCTATACAAAGGATTATAACTTCTTTACAGAAAATTGCTTAAAGATGAGTATTTCAGAGCCACAGTTCAGTACCTAGCACGTGTAAGTTTCTAACAATCAGGTCCAGTTTGTCAGTCAGCTCATTGGATGATTATTTTCATGAAATGCAGCCTTTTTGTCCTTCCTCTTCTGCGTCTGGTTTTGATACTTCCATCATTTGTACTGTTATGTCGTGCTATGGGATTGTTAGTTCTCATAGTATAATGACATCTTCAAGCAACAAGGGCATGCATTAGGGCACCAAGTCACTTAAACCGAGGTTTTATTCCAGCCAGTGAGCTAATATGTACTGAAACACATAGGAAAACGAGTTTCTTCAGTTAGTTCTTGCTTTCTCTTGTCTTTATACCACCCAAAGACTTTTGCTGTGTTTTCAGCTATTCTGAATTCTCTCTCTTCCCCTGACATGGAATTGGGCACGTTGTTTTTACTGAAGTGGCCAAAATTTTAAAAACCAGAACAGCACGAGAGCTCTAAAAACACCCTCTTTTTCAGGTCTTGTTCCTTTCTTCATGTGTGTGCTCTTTCCCACTTTGGTCCAATTAGTAATAAGAACTTACAGAAAACTGATTTTATTTTATATTTTTTTCCCTTACTGTCTGTCGTTTGATTGTCTATAGATACATATTTGATACACGTAAAAATATATAAGTATTGTAAATATATCTATATGGCTATCCAGTGCTGGCTGGTGACAGAGTGCTTCCAAGTACAAAGGCTGCTCAGCTTTAGGTGTTGGTTTCCTGCGCTGGCTCAGAATAAGCATCGAGGAGATTGTGGACCTGAACTTTCCTCACTTGAAAGCTCTGCTGACATTTGTGTCCGTGGTTGACTGGGGAGCTTTACCATCAGCTTCATAGATTGTGACTGTAGCAAAACCTTAAGTTGCATTGTAAGAGGAGAGTTTTTAAGTCACTTGTGTTTTGAGCATCCTTTAAAACACAACATAAGCATCTGAGAGAGTTTCTTTCTACAGCAAATGTTTGTAAGACTTGTCTTCAGTAACTTCTGAACAGACAAGCAAGACTTTGGTCATCTGAACTACAGGATAAACACCTACTTCTGACAGAAGGTACTGTTCACTGTGATATGATGTCCTTTTATTGTTTGGTAGTAAGAACAACAGCAGAGTAAAGCTTGTAAAAATTATTAGTTCTTTTGGCCTGAATCCTTAGTATGGGCAGTGGTGAATTTAAATGAAAGAAGGAGAATAAGTTATTGATTGACTGGGAGAGGATGAATAAGGTAAACCAGTGACGTTCTTTTTATTCTAAGCAATACATTGTAAACAAAACAGGACAGAGGAAAAGGTAAATTCTTAATCTGTGAGCCCAGATGAGCCTTTGTTTTTCTTTTGCAGCTGTTGTTTTTTTCTGGTGGCCAGACTCTACCTTTCAAGAGTTCTCTGTAAGTGTAAAGAGATGTATACCTACCCTTGGAGTTGATTTCTGAAGTTAGGTGCCAGTGTAAAAGGGCCTGGCTATCTGCAAGACTTTCTCAGAGGGAGCAACAGAAACTAACTTCTGCATCAGACTAGGCTGTAATGTGAGAAAAAAGCCACCTCACATTTGGTTTCTTGATAGTAGGCTAGGCTGCTTTTAGGCATTTTTCTCTGCATGGAAAGAAAACTTTCAGAGAAATTTTTCTTTTTTTACATTTGTCATTTAAAATTTAGGTCTCAGTGTGTCTCTGTTAGATACGGTGAGCTAAGTTGAGGTGTCTTCTAATCATTCATGTAGTGAAACCTTAGAAAAAGCATTCTGTACAGTCCCCTTAGTTCCAATATTATTTTCAATTTCAAATAATTTTTTTTTTTCTAATCCCATGGAATCCCAATATATTGAACACTTTAGTAATGAATGTGTTATGGAGATTTCTTGTTGGTTACCTTTCGGTTGAAATTGTCAGATGCGTAAGAGTGCTGCAAAATATTTCCCCTTTTGCTGTGGGAGAGGGCTCTGATATGTGAACTCCTCCGGCCACCCAGGTACATTATGGAGTGGTTGCGTTGAGCTAGAAAGTAGAAAGACCGTCTTGAATGTGTGCCTGCTTCCAGTTACGAGAAAGCATCATGACACAGAAGCAGCCTGTCTTCTGGGTCATTGATCTAAACATGGTTTTTGTTTCTCATCTGGTTTTGAGTGCGACTAGAGGACCTTGATGCTTTGCTGTAAAATTACGTGTGTTTATGTCCTGTGCAAGCTTAAAGGACGTCCTTTTCTGGCTGCCCATATTGCTGCTTGATCAGTCTCACACAGGCTCACTGTTTACCTAGTGGGCACATACAGTGGATGGAGTTAAAAGAACTTCTTAATTGCTAATTCAGCAAACGAGTTTGTGGGAGGAATGATGGCTTAGCAGTGGATTGGCCTGAATTAAATAACTCGGGCTTAATAGATCTAGGGAAGACAAGCCCTGTGATGAGATCTATTGAGCTCATAGAAACAAAGGAACTGAGCAAGACACATGTTTTTCTGTACATTTGTGTGTGCCTGTGTGTTGCTTTGGGTTTTTAACTCTTTCAGAATGGGAAAAAAAAACCTTACCTACATGGTATTTGCTTTTTACAAGTTAAAACAAGCAAGTGGAAAAACACAGAACTCTCTCTGAACAACTTATTTTTAGTTCATTTGTTCAGGATCGAGTAATCTCTGAGATGAGGCATCGTGAGTCAGTTTATTCATTATAAATTGTAGTAAAATGTAGTAACTTACAAATTCCTGTACAGGAAAATTACGGAGTAGATGGTTGTTTGGAAATGGGTGTGGTTTGTGGATGTGATTTCCTGTACTATGAAATATCCAGGGTAGTGATTTTTGAAAGAAAAAAATACCTTTAAAAGGTTTTGCTAAGCGTATTTTGAATAAGAAAGTTAAGAATCATCTTCGTAATTGAATCTTGATGTATTGAGTTCGTATTTGCAGCACAGGATATGCAGGATTTCGTAGACTCAGTGCCTTATTCATAGTACTTAATTGGTGCTGGAACATAAATTTGACCCGTCCTGTGAGCTGTTTGTGTTTTCTGGTCTCTTCTAGCTTCTTATCTTACATTTTCTATCGTTTTTAAGTCATATTGATAAAAATATCTTTTTAGAATAAAAGGAAAATGCCATTTAATTTTCATGTGTATAATTTAAGAATAATTGAGGCTGGATGCAACCTCTGATCATTCATCCAACCTCCTGTTCAAAGCAGAGGCTGTTTTGAAGTTAGATTTGGTGGCTCAGGCCTTGTGCAGTCCAGTGCTGAATATTTCCAAGGACGGATGTTGAAAAAGTTCTCTGGAAAACCTGCTTGATCAGTGATGTGATGCTTTCTTTTTAAATTTTTTTCCCCCCTTAGATCTAATAGAAGTTGACCATGCTCCTGTGTCCTTTTGGTGTGAACCTCTGAGAAGAGCCTAGCTCTTCCAAATACATATATGCCCATTAAGGAATTGTGGATAGCAATTAGGTTTCCCCTTTGTCTGGTCTTCTCCGGTCTGAACAGACCCATATCTCTCAGCCTGTCCTTGTATGTCATGTGCTTCAGTCCCCTGGCCATGTGTGTGACCCTTTAAGTATTTTTTTTAATTGGTATCTATTTAAAACTATAATCAAATGCCAGTTCATTATAGCATACTTGGCAAATAGATGGACCAGATGCTCAAACAAGCCTCTCTTCGTTCTTTGATTTCTATCATTTATTTCGGGGAAAGTGTGAGAACACTCTCTCAAAGGGTATGTACTAAAAGAGACCTATTGTATAAATCCACACAGAATTCAGAGAATGCAGAACAGCAACTACTCTGTGGGAATTCATCCTCTGTTATTAGTGCAGGCAAAACGAGTCAATTAAAACATTTCTGTTGAACTACTTGTTCTTTCAAATCCTTTAATTGCTCAACTAACCACAGGAAGACTAAAATCTAGAAGCCATTTGGGAAAAGATCATATTTGAGTATATTATACTGAATTAGTCTCATCAACCACTTGATTTTGCAACAAGTTTTTGTTTCAGCTTTTGAAGAGGGTTTCTGTTATGGCAAAAACATTAATTGTGGATTGCCTCAGTTGAAATTTTGTGCGTATTTTTCTCTCCTCAAGGGAGACGCAGATGGTGACAAGCCCCTGGAAATCCATGCGGCTTCAAATGAAGAGCAAGCCCAGAAGTAGAACACCAGATCGCTTGGCATCAAACAGGTAAAGGAAAGACTGGTAACAGTATATAGTTACAGCAGCAAAATAACCTGGAAGAGCTGAACACTTGCAAGTTTGACTTGTAGTTTTCTTCTTCATGTTGATGAAGAAAGAGGGGAAGAAAGATAATTTTATTCATCGTAACATTTGTTGAGAATTTGAGTGCTCCTTAACACTATTTAACTTAACTTATCTGAATTCTTTATCTTTAGAGCATAGTGAGTAAATGGACGTCTCCTCCAAGGTTTCTGACTTAATTTAGCAAGACCTTGTTCATGTATTCTTGGTCTTTAGGGTTTTTTTTCCCTTCTTCCCTTCCCATTTCTGCCTCTCATACCAAAAGCATCTTTACCTTCGTTGTTGCACCTGTGCAGGTATGAAGGAGGGGAAAGAAACATATTCCCTGCTCATGTGTCTTCTCTAAAGATTTGTCAGTGCCAGGGCGCAGCGTTATCTTACAGCCTGTAACAGTCCACGATATGCCTGACCTTTGGTGTTGATGTATCTCTCTAATGAGATGTGCTTCATCAGTTGGGAACGAATGGTGGAGGAAATGGAGGCAGCGTTTCCCAGTTTTTTGAGCCAGAAACTTGAGTAGAGATGCCAGTTCTGTTTCTGACTTGGCTACTGGGTTGCTTTCTAAACTCAAACAAGTCCCGTGATTGTTACAGTTTCTAGAAAAGCAAAACAAAAACACCCTCTCAACTTTTTCAAGGTGGTTCAGTTTCATAGGACAAAAATTGCTCTGTATGTGAGGCTTATTATTACTAATGATGATGTAATTAGACATCATTTAGTACAAAATATCAGATGTCTGCTCTGTCATTAGTTGATAAACATTGTGGTTTCTAAACATGTTTTCTAGTGCTTGTCTTTGTCTGTGTATTATTTTCACATTATGTTAAGGACTTATTTTTCATCAGAAAGCAAACCTAGCATTGTAGGAACTCCTCGTCATTTCTGTATGCAGTGTTCCACTTATCAGTAAACTACTTTTTTTTTTTTTTTTTTTTCCGCCAACTGTGTAAATAGAGGCTGGATTTAGAAAACTGCACTATTTTTTTCTTCCATGCATCATCACCAGTCACAAATGTTTGCAGATGTGATGGAATGCACACATCTGCTGAGCAACAGCATTCCACTGTTACATGGTCAGCTTTAAAAGCAAAACTAGTTTCTAATGTTGTGTTTCCCTTAATGTATTTTTAATCGCTATGGCTGCTTCTCACAAGGGCAAAAAGGTATGTTGACGAGCTGATTTACTGAGTACATCAGTTTTTCCTTCAGATGTATGATATAAAGTCTTCAAGAATACATGTTTCCCAAGTATTTTATAAAAGGACTGAAAAAAACCTAGGAAGAACAGTTTTGTTGTCAGTAAAGATACCCAGGAGAAACAGGAGGAAGAAAAGCTTCTCTAAAATTCACTAAAATATTGTGCTTATTGTGAACTAGGACAACTACTAAATGATGAAAAAGCCAGGAAAATTGAACTTCTGTTTATGTATGTGGGACACTGTACAAATATCAAGGTTCTTTACAAACAGAAACCCATCAATAGCTTTTACTTTCTTTTAGCATTTCTTACTGTGTGAATGTAATCTCTGTTAGAGCTTTATTTGCTTATTGAAATTTTAGTGCGTTTTGCTGAAGCTACGTTTTAAGGGAGGGGTGGGTGGAAGGAAAGAAACAAAAGCTGTCAGGAAGACTTATACTGAAGTTGGTATCCTGACCCTTTGTCTTCAGGATTTTAATCATAAACATACTCGTGCTATGTAAGTTCTGAGGAAAAACCTCGGTAAGAGTAGAACATGCAAGACAGCAGCTGTCTGTCTTTTTAAAGAGTGAAGATAATTGCTCAGGTGCTTAAAGTACCTGGGTGCTGCTGTTTGAAAATCTACTCGCTTTACCACATGTTGTTTCTGGAGGAGGTACGTAAGTGGAACTACTAGATTTTTGACCTAGAGCAGCTGCATGGTGAAAGTTCAATTCAGTATAAATTTTCAGCTGTTCTGTGGGGGTGGTGATTTCTTACTTCTGCTTGAAATCAAATCCAGTTATTTAAGTCCAGATGTTTCGTTGGATTTCAGTGATGCCAAAGGTTGGAGAATGCTGCTGTGATCTTTGAAAAGACATACTTGTTTATTCTGAATGAGATCAGTCCTGAAAGTCTCACTGTATTTTCAACTGTTGGTAATATTCCTAGTTGAATCTGGTTACTAAAATAAATACAACCTCATTTTCCTCCTAAAGATTTACCACAGCATGGGTCTCTGGATTGTTAATAGTCAGACAAGGACAAAAACACTTTGGGTTCGAGACAGTAACGTATTTCTCCATTCCAAAAAACAGCACCATTGCACCTCCTTTATTTTAGTATGTTTGTCATCAATAATTATATGCAAACTACAGCTCAGACCACATCCTATCGTGGGAGAAGCAAGCTTTAATTTTATCCAGCTGTTGTGCTGAAGTGTTGCTTTGTGTTTTTCCATGCAGATCATGTATCTCATTTTCATTCTGTTCAGGTTCTGTATTTATGTAACTCCATTTCCTTGAGTTAAATTACTCTATCTTTACACCAGAGTAAGTGAGATTAGGAAAAAATGTAACTGATGGGAATTAAAAAGAATTCTATTTGAGAAAGTTTATTTATTGCACGAGATTTCAGTTGGTATTTTGTTGCTATGAACTGTTCCTTTTCTTTTATATTTCCATACAGTTCAACTGTAAGAATTGAATTCTCTAGAGCAGGCATAATCATTAGTGGTCTAATGTCAGTAATATGAGGAGTTAAATCTCTATACTAGAAGTAAATTGGTATTGAGAATTTTCTTTGTGGCAAGTTGATCAAAATCTGTTTGAGGAACAAAGTTTTAATTGCACTTTGATAATGGAAAGAAAAGGCTTATGATATTTAATTCTGCTTTCTCCCTCCCTCTCCCCCTTGTCCTTTGTCCTCTTTCTTTGGTTATAGATGAACAGAAAATACAGATATGAGCAACTGTTTCCCAAGAAAAAGAGGAAAATCATGTGAATCCATTTTGATTTTTGAATGTGACTAATCCAGCTCTGCCTCAGGAAAGACTGATGGTGTGCTGCTTGGGCTTCTGGTATGGAATCTGTGAAAGGACACTACGTATTTTGGGTCAGTCTTGAGACCTTATCCTCAATTCTGCAGTGAGACTCAAGTCTGCCCATGCTTGTCCCATTGCAGGATCAGCATCGCAAGTAGCGAGTCTCAAAATTCCTCAGTCTCTCGTTGTTATTTATATATAAAATAAAATTCCAGTTACACAAAATGGTCCTGTTTTTTTCTCGCATCTTGTCTGCTTGTATGTGATGTTTGCACAGTCAGTGAAGAGTTCTCAAGCTGCTGTTGAGAATGCCTGTGTAAAATTTTTAGCAGCGAGAAAAGCTTAAGTGCATGATGTTTTGGCTAAAAGTAGCTAATAGAATTACGGATGAGAACCGTTACAATGACTCTTGTGTTTTGTCTCTGTTTCCCCCTCCTTTCTATACAAATGTTCTGCCTCATCAGTGGCAGCGGGAGGTATATAATGAAGCATCTGTGAGTTCCTGTCTAGTAGATGGATGGGAATGGAGCTGTTAGTGTTTGTTCTTGTTTTTGCTTGAATGCACAGCTCAATGGGAACCAGAATGTTATGATGTTGGGAAACAGCTATAGAATAACTTGCCTGTTTCCTTACTCCCAGCCAAGGGAGAGGAGGAAAAAGTGAAGCAAAGGGAAATACAAAAGGATTTCCAGCATTTTGAAATCTTTACACAATAAAACCCTTTCATCATTTGTTCCCATTCCCGTGAGTCTCTCTTTTGGGGCATGATCCTGCACAAGTTACTGTAATCCAAGTAGCTCAGAGCGTTTAAAGCTCTATTGCTGAGTCTTAAATGTTCCTAAATTAATCTGTGAATATGAGGAATGGGAAAAGGGTGGAATTAAATGTGTGCTTGTAGCATACATTAACTTTCTGAAAAGAACAGAGAAGAAAATACAGAGTAAATTGGATTCAGAATACTTTTAAACATTTTTGTTATGACTTGGTTAGGTATTCTGGCTGAGCATGTTCCACAGACTTTCAGAGAAAAGCAAACAGATCTTGGCAATGTGAATACCAATCTGCGTGGGCATAATAAAACAGGCCAACTCTTTTTTAATACAGGCATAAGGTCTGTGGTTGCCTCAGGCAGAAAAACAGTATCTCCCAACTTGCTTTTATGATTGTCTTAGGCTGGTAAAGATGGATGTTGATTTAGCAAAGGGAGCAGAGTTCTTGTGTGGGGTTTGGGGTGTGCGCGTGTTTTGTTTTTTACTTTAAATTTGCCAACATAGTTCAAACAGGCTTGGGAGGATCAAAGTAGTGTTTTTGTCAATAGTGGAAAGAAAACTTGGAAAATATTGGTCATAGCTGTAACTGCTCTGTTACACTGCTCGTGCAATGCAAGCATACATTTGTTTCTTCCTTTAAAGATAGTCCTTCACTTATGCATTCTCATATCCTGGATAAAATGATTACTGTTGAGTTAGGATTACAGATTTAGATGCCTGTGGGTTTTTTCAGTAATATTTGGCATGTGCCACATTAGCATTTAAGGACATAATTACTTGATAATCCAGGTATTTTCACTCTTAGGCTCCACCAGGATGTGCTTTCCTCATTCTTTTTGATGCAGTTGTTAGCTGTTCTTTTTGGTTTTACTGCCTGTGAGAGCCAAGTGGAACTTTTCATGTCCAGTCTGTTTCATTAGCTAATCCTCACTCAAACACAACAGCTTTTAGTCTTTTTGTTTACATATGCATGTGTGTGCATGTTTAAAAAAATCCTGAGTTAAATAAGTATCACTTGACTTAAATGCTTTTTACTTGATCGCATCTTCATGCTGCATATTTACACTTCTGCTTAAAAACGTCCCAAGTGATAGACATCAAACCAGAATGCTTTTATCTAGCAGGAAATGACTGCCTCCGAGCACCTGCATACGCACCTGACAAGGAGATGGCTCCAAAATGTAAGCAAGATAGCCCTAACTGAAATCCTTTCCTTATGCCTTCTGTTTTTCACGAGTACAGGAAATTAAAAAAAAAAAAAGTTTCATGCCGGTAGGCATGCAAGAGATCGCAAACACTCAACTCACTTGGCACAGACGTTCCTAATGAGGAAGAAGAGGGCAGTTGACCACTGTTCATACATACGTACACTTACAGGGAGCTGGTTTGTGCATGCATGTGTTATCTTTTGCCAGACTTTGCCTGTAGGTATTACAACATAGGCTAAAAACAGTATATTCCCCACCCAAATTTCACATTAACAGTTTGGTCATCCTTCCACTCGAAGCCTTTCGGCTTGGTAACTGGAGTCTGTGCAGCTGGGGCAATAGTGTTCTCATCTCAGCATCCTCGAGCGCAGTGGCTGTTAGCAGATATGTTGGGGCTGGGTTGCAGTGCTGTCTCTCAAAAACACCTGTCTTTAATTTCTGCAGCATGTGAAAATCATAGAACTGGAGATCATCTCGTTGGCCTGTGGAGCCCTCGATGCTGGGATGACAATTCCTGTAGACAGTGTAGTTGTCTGAGTAAAAGTGGACAGCATAGCCTCTCCTTTTGCTAGGAAGAGCATCACCGGCCTGGAATAATCCTGTTATCCCAGGTAAATACATACAGTCTTGCAGCCTTGAATAAAATCGCAGTATTGTGCCCCAAGTGTTCATTGCAAAACATCTGGGTTAGACCCAATGCTCTGACTGTAGAAGGCCCCAGACGCAGACTTACAACCTCTGCTCATAACTGAAGTGCTTTGGAGCATTCTTCATTGCATCTGTCACCTTTGGAGAGAGCTGTAACTGCAGTGCAGGAAAGGGCAAGATTGATACGGAAGGAATCATGTTTTAGAGCCAGAGAAAAGAATGTCCTGGGAGTTGAAGGGGTTTGCTACTGCTCTGTTTATTAGCCTTGGGAGAAAAATCTCGGTGTGAGCACATTTGCTTCAGAACAGATAAGGAGCCCCGGCTGCATGTGTTTCTTTTTCCCTTTTCTGGTTTTGTAAAGGTTATTTTCCCACCTTCCATAAATCCTAAGCTCTTTGTAAAGCCAGTTTTAGCATAATAAACTGCTATTGTCAAAAAGCATTTTGGCTCTTCAGGCGTGCTGGAGAGGCCTGTGTGACTTCCCACCGGACCTTCCTGGGTGTAGCACCTCAAAGCAGGGTTGGCTGTTGCACCTGGATGGCCTGGCAGCTGGCTAGGTCAACCCCACTGTGGGGTGGTTTTGGCAGGTACAGAGTATCTTGTTTACAAGGAAAACCTTCGATAACCTTCCTCCTTCTGGCGAGGAGGAGGATGGATAGATAGATCCTGGGTGACTTGCTACTGTGTGCCTGAGAACAGGTGTGCTGCAGCCTGAGCTGAGCTCAGGCTTGTGATCCCAGTGTCTTTGTGCCCACCATGAGAACAGCGGTGAGGGCAATGGGACAGGTAAGGTCTCTTTATAGTGTGAATATAAACCTGCGCAAGACTCAAGAATTTCATTTGAAAGAGACTAAAACTGAGGATGTGCTTTATGTGTAGTCTGAGTGTCCAGATCTTGGTCAGCAGCACCTAAAGTGTGTAAGAAAGCTCCGTGAAGTAACAAGATGGGTCACTCACAACACACTTTTCAGCAGGGCGGGCAGATGCTGTGTTGGGAAGGCTGTTGCTGCTCTCCTTCACCACTTGGGTTCATCAGTCCTTCTACCCAAGGAAGGGAGCTTGCAGCCCTGAGACCGCTGTGCAGATGAGCGGTGGAGCGCTGTGTGTGATGGAGACCTCATCTTGCTTCAGGGGCTTGCTCAGCGTGCGTTTGAAGACAGCAGTGAGATCAGCAACCGCGTGCCTGGATAAAAAAATAACCTCAAGAGGATAACCTCATTTCTTCGTCTTTGGCCGTTGTGGTTCTGGGGCCTTCACACCATGTTGCCTCCTGTACTGAAATGATTCAAAATACGGAGTTCTCAGTCCCGCTGCATCCGAGTCTCCCAACACTGAAGTCTTAACCTGAAGTACCTTCACTCAACTCCAGGGCGCAGCACCTGTACCTTTGAAGAAGTCATCTGTTTCTTTGAACTGAAAATGAGCCACATCCAGCACTCGGCCGGGAGTGCTAGGGTACCCTGCGAGCCCACTGTACCCCCGTTCCGCAAGCAGCCAGCTGGAGAGGCCGAGCAGGAGGGAGGGATGCCCTGAGCAGAGGTGTGCGGTGATGCTCCCTCCGTGCCAACCCATGGCTTTACCCGAGGGCCGCAGAAAAGCTCGCTCGTTTTCCCAGCGATGGGGTGGACGCTGAGGCACGAAGCCAGAAGAGTTCGTGGCCGTACGCACGCACCCGCCGAGGGTCACAGGCAGGCAGCTGCGGAGGGCCGCCACGGTTTTAGCCCCTTCACTTTCTTTTATTGGTTGCTAAAAATTGAGTACGGAAACGGGCAGAGTTAGTTTATCAACCTCGAGAGAAAGAAAAGGGATTCTTCCCTTCCCCCCATCCCCTGCCCTAGATTAAGTCCTCTCTGTAAAGTTAGCGAGCTTCAGACTCACTTCCTTTTGTGCGGAGACCTGAAAGAGCCATTTCCTGATTCGTACACTTCACTTTCTTTTATTGGTTGCTAAAAATTGAGTACGGAAACGGGCAGAGTTAGTTTATCAACCTCGAGAGAAAGAAAAGGGATTCTTCCCTTCCCCCCATCCCCTGCCCTAGATTAAGTCCTCTCTGTAAAGTTAGCGAGCTTCAGACTCACTTCCTTTTGTGCGGAGACCTGAAAGAGCCATTTCCTGATTCGTACAGCGCTCCTATGCGCCCACTAAGTGCTCATTCATGCTCTGAATCATAAAGGTAACCTCCGTTCAGAGCACGGCTCCCATACTTCGGTGTTGTACTACAAAAAAAAAAAAAAAAAAAAGAGTTTTGTTATTCAACACAGCACGCTGAAGTAATCTTTGCGTTTACTGGGGAGCTGCACCAGTGGGTTTTTTGATCTTCCATCTTAAAAGCATTGTTTACAAACTGCTCCAACTAAAACAGGCTGGTAAAAGCGCCAAAGCCAGCCCAAAGGAATATGTTTACTGTCGTGTGCCAGGCTTGACACATTTTCCATATCCTGCCAGAGATGAGGAATGGCATCAGGAGCTGCGAGTGAGTCAGCCTTGGCCCCCGGCATGGTGCCACGCTTGGTGCTTACGCTGCAGCCTCGGTGGCAAGCCCGGGCGGGTTCGGCACAACCCTTCGTACACTAAACTGAATGAAGATGCTGGAGAAAACTCAG